TTGACGTATAGGAGAATTAGTAAAAACCCGATTAACAAGATTAGAGATCAGGTTAAAGGCTTCTTGAAGCGTTGGCTTCTGAAGGGATACATTGATAAAAATATGTATTTGAAACTTTTGGAAACCGACGGCTCCATTCCAAGAAGTTATGGATTACCAAAAGTTCACAAGAATAATTGGCCACTAAGAATTATTGTCTCAAGCATAGGAAGCCCGACTTATAAAGTAGCCAGATTTGTTCAAGACATTTTATCTAATAGTTTGCCTAAACCGTCAAGCTATGTTAAAAATAGCATAGATTTACTTAACAAAATTAAAAATATTTCTATTCCAGACGAGTACATTCTGATCTCTTTGGATGTTACTGCTTTGTTCAACAACGTACCAAAAGAACTGGTATTAAATGCAATCAATTCTAGACGGAATTATTTAAATAACGCTAAGATCCCTTTTGGAGAGTTGAAACAGTGCATTGAACTCTTTATGGATTCCACGGTTTTCAAATTCAAGAACCTCTACTATGAGCAAATCTTTGGTACTCCGATGGGGAGTCCAATATCCCCTATTTTAGCGGATCTAGTTATGCAGGATTTAGAAGTTTCCTGCCTCGATAAGTTGAGCTTTGAGGTACCCTTTTACTATAGATACGTGGATGATATTATCACCGCTGTCCCTAAGAATAAACTTGATGAAACTCTTAATACTTTCAATAATTTCCATTCCCGTCTGCAATTCACATTCGAGCTAGAAAAAGATTACAATATCAACTTTTTAGAAGTTTGCCTAACGAGGTGTGATAACAAAATTTCTTTCGATTGGTACCACAAACCCACTACCTCGTTCCGCTATATTGATTTTTACTCGTCACATCCATTGAGCCAGAAAGTGGGAGTTGTTTCTATGCTTGTTGATAAAGCGACTAAGTTGGCGGATCATAAACACCACCAAAAAAATTTAAAATTTGTTGAAAAGGTCTTACTAGCGAATCGTTACCCTCATAAGTTTATCAAGTTCTATGTTAGGAAACGCTTACATAAGAACAATAGTGATAATTTAAATAGAAACCTACAGTATCAGAATAACCGGACGGAAAATTTAATGGTGCTTCCGTATATTGAAGGGTTCTCAAAAACAGTGAACAAAATCAATAAGAAATATAATTTCAAAACTATTTTTTCTGTTAACAATAGGGTTAATGATAAATTTGTTAAAAAGTTGAAAGACCCTTTAGAAAAAGATCAGACCCAAGGGGTGGTATACAAGATAAACTGCAAAGAATGTGATAGTAACTACGTTGGCCAAACTAAGCGAAAGCTAGTGACCCGCATTAATGAACATCGAAAAGACATTAACAAGTTAAATCCAACCTCTATGACTACAGTACATAAAGTTAACACAGATCATGATTTTGATTGGGAACAGGTCAAAATTTTGGATAGGGAGAAGCATTGGAACAAACTTAATATTTCTGAGATGATTCACATAAAGATTAGTGAAAATACATTGAACCGACAAAGGGATACGGAAAATTTGAACCCTATTTATAATAAACTCCTTACCAATATTCGGTGTTAATTAGTTTACATTTCTCATCGACAACATAAGTTTAGGTATTAGGCGCACAGAAAAGATTGCGCAAAAACGGCACAGCTGTTTACTTTTCTCTTTGTGCTGTATAGTTGATGTTTTTTGCATTGCTGAACTATGATACATACATGTATGTATCAATATTGCATGCTTGCATTCTTAATTGTTGATATATCACGGTTGACGCTCTAGTTAGGGACAGAGATAGTATACACACTTATTGTTGTTGTTGTTTTGCTGCCCTTAACTAGTCTAATGTGCCTTTGTTTGGCGTTTAGTTTAATCTTTCTGTTTTTATGTTTGATGCTTCTCTCGCTTCATATATATGTACCTGCTCGTCTTGTTGTAACGAATAGAACTTATAAAACTTTGACATTTGAGTCAATAATTCGCTCGCTGTTCGTTGGAATATTTTCAATTTTTAAATTTATTATGCCGGAAGTTTTACAATTGTTACGCGCTACTCCCATAAGAAGTAAGCCTTTTGCTTTTTGCGTGTTTTATATAAAATAGAATATTGTGTGTATAAATTTGTATTAATTGTTTTTATAGACAGGGTAAACATACCGCCTATTTGACCAAGTTGCGGATACATATATGTGTGTATAATACGATGGACAATCCATGGTGCCGCAGCTTAATTTGCGTTAAACACACATATATATATTAGCACAGATTTTTGTAAGTACTCTATGGCTGATAAATATTAGTGCTATGATTATGTGACTAATTTTTTACCTGTTTTAGTATAATTCTGATGAGGGTGCAATATTAGCACCGAAAGCTAAAGAAATAAAATGACATAATACTTATCAATTTGGCTCGTAGATATCGTCTTTGGTTTCATCTTCAAGTTGAAAATAATCCGAGCGTTAAACAATTCTTTGAATTGATTTAAATTTTTTTCTGAATTTTTAAATCATTATTTTCGACCAAGATTGTTGAAAAATGGTAAAATCCGTGACAATGTATTAATTTGTTTACCTTCTGCTAATTATTTACAGTCAAAAATGTGATTTTTTAAACCGTAAATACAAAAACTTGAAGTAATTAAATTCTTTACAAATTTGTATAACCTTTTTTTACGAAAAATGCAAAATAAGCTTGCAAATTGCATAAAATCCAAAAAATCGAAAATCCAAAATGGCGGAATATACTCATATAAAATTTATGGACAATACTGTCAATCCATTATCTACGCGTCAAATAGAAGTAAACTGCGTCAAAAGTTCCCAACTACAAATTTATGTTTTCTTCGTACCAATTTGTTTTAAATTTACTCTGCTATCTATTTTAAATCATATCGTTTTCGGCATTATAGAGTTAAAGGCAAAAAACTTATAATTTATTCACACATATGTACTTGTTACTATGTTTGCTTTTAGCTTTAAGCACAGCAAAGGCATTTGCAAACCTTTTCCATGAAATGCATCTAAAAA